CCGTCGTTGCTGCGATCTGATTTGGAACAGTATTTGGGCGTTACAAGGTGCTTTGGATGCTCAGGGAGAATCAGGTTCCCTTCAGGAAAGGGAAAACTCTGCAAAATCCCCTTATCACCCCCCTGTGAGAGAGCTGCCCCCCCCCCCAAATCGTGCTCTATCCATTGCCCTTGTGTTTTTTCCCCTGGTTGCAATTTCCACACCTCTTCATCTGTACGAGCAACGGGCTTGTGGCTGGGACCTCCTGGGAGAGAGGTGCCCCAAGGAGGGGGTGACCCCAGGGTGGGGGGTTTGGGTGAGCCCCATCGGTTCTTCTTGTGCTACCGACCCGACGTCAGGAAAATGGGTCAGAGAAGGGGTCGGGGGTGCAATGAGCTGCTCTAGTGATGGCCAACACAGCCTGGGGGGTAAAATGGGACCTGCTTGGTGCTCGAGGTGCCCCCGTCTACCTCTTCTCAACATCCTCCTGGACTTCCAGGTGCGGTGGTGAGCTGGTGCAGCATTTGCGTCCGTGCCTCGGTTTCCCCATCCCGGGGGAAGAGGTGACCGGTTTCCATTTTACGTCTGCCTTGGGTGGGAGAGGCTGAGTTGTTGGCATTACTCTGCTCCCTTCTAATAAAAAAAAAAAGCACTGGGCATTTGCATTATTCAGCAGGTTTTACAGGCGCAGCCGGGCGATGTGTGTGCACGCCGGAGGATCCGGACAGTGAGTTTATCCCCCGGCGCTGCTGCTCTGACTTGGCGCCGATGCTGCTTTTAAGTTGGGCAGCTACAAAGTTTTCCTCTGTCCCTCCCACCACGGCGTGAACGAGGGATTTCCCCCTTCATCCTGCAAACCCCGTCACCCCCAATCCAACCCGTCGCCCTGTCCCAAAACCTCCCCAGTTTAACCCAAAACGGGAGAGCTAGGAACAACAAACCTCCCCCCCCCTTAAATCCCCATTAAGGGGTTACACCCAGCAGCTTGGCGTGGGCTGATTTCTCCACTGGCCTCCCCCAGAAGAGGGATAGCGATGCTTTCCCGGGCCGGTTGCGCTAACCCACCGTCGTCCCTCTCCCCGTCCCTCTCCCCAGGCCTGCGAGCGGGACCCGCAGTGCGGCAGCAGGACCTGCTGC